TTTTTACTAGGCTCTTCTTTAATAACATCCATATTTTTATTTTTCACCATATACTCATATTACCACACAATAGTAGTACGTGCATAGATCTCACTAAAATATTGTTCAAAGAGATTTGAATGTATGCTAAAGCAACTCCCTCTTAATATTAGAATTAGAATTGGTGCCAAATAGTCATAAGCAAGATGTCTAAATTCGTGACATTTATAACATTCTAATTTTTCAATCCTCTTTTTCATATTATATCATTCAAATTCTCAAGGATCTTGGAATGATCTTTGAGAATAACAACCTTAGATAGTGTTTCTAATAAAAAATATAAGTATTTTTTTGTATTGATTAAAATATACTTTCATCTTAATCTCCTCCATTTATAATCAACATACTAAGTTTTTAAAGATAGGTTGCATACACTCATTTTGAATAATGTGCACCAAAGTTTCAAACTTTGGTGATAAGAACTTAAGAATCTTATGGATAATAACAATATCTAAGAGAAGTTCTATAGTTTTTTTTAAGTTATTGATAAATTTATAGATAATTTGTATAAATGATGCAACAATCATGTCATCAATCATCTTCAAATTCTACTATCTATTTAAAGTAGTCATAATGTTTACAATGGTCTAAATGGAATAAAGGTCTGACAAAGTTTATCAAGCCTGTACTAATATGAGTCATAAAATTAATTCAATAGTTGTTTTAGGACAAAAAGGTGCATTTAGAGTACTAAAATTACAATGTATGATGAGTAATATAGAAATTCTTAGATAAATAGAGAATTAAAATGTTAATTGTATAAATAGAGTCTTAGTAAGTTTTGGAGATAATTATCTTAGTTGATTTAGTATCTTTATTTATTTTTGAGTATTAAGGATTACTTATTAATATCAATATCTAAATTGGCCTTCTATCTATATGTACAACTTATAAAAAACTATAAATATTATTTAGTAGTTAGAAGAAGCATGGAAAAGAACCTCATGTCTTTTTAATTATTGATATGGAAAATAGAATTTATAATTTATTTATATTGATTTTATTATTATAAAAATATACCAAAGGAAGAAAATATAGAATTAAAGTGCTATTAGTATTATAAAAATATTATAAAAATATTTAGAATTTATTAGTCTTATCCTCCTAACTATATTTAAGGTGCTACAACTCATATGAGATGTGTACACCTCCCTTTCTATAAGGACTATATTAATTGTTGGTCCTCTTATTTTTTACTAGTAGAATTAATATTTTAATATTTTTGACTTCACCATGGTCTTCAAAAATATCATATTAGCCTAAAAACCTTGTGTAGCCTTCAAAAGCTTAGACGCCCATATATACTACATGTGAGCCTTAGTGAGGCTTGAACCTTTGATCTATAAGCAAATTATCCTTGAGATAAAATATTTTCACTTAACTTTTCATTGATTTATTTTTTATTTTTAAAACCTTCATAACTTATTCATAATAACTCGAATTTACAAGTTTCTTATATCATTGAAAAGATAAGAAAATTGAATTTTTAAAATTGATTTTTGTTTTTTACTTTTTATTAGATGAATATTAATAAACAAATTGTGACCAATTTTTGAATTTTGTAATCTCTTAATTTTATTATTTTATTTTTTTGTATTTTTTCTTGCTATTTACTTCCTTTATTTCACACTACCAATTACTAGCAACTCTTAATTGAAGCCATCTTGTAATTTAGATTAAAGAATGAATTTTACTCTCATGACTAGATCAAAGATTTGAGATATACATACTTTGACCATGTCTATAAGTGATAGTTGTAGGTAATCCATGGCTTTGGTCTTTCTTTTATAGTGTTTTTCTCTATCATGAGCAAAGAGATTAGGTCAAGACTTAGCATGAGTGCCATAGGCTTCTTTGCTTTCTAAAATATGATTAAATTCTATGCTTTGATTGGATTTGGAAGACTCTCCACTAAGTTGAGTTCCACTGAGTTTTAGATTGAAGAGGATCTACTATGTCCCAAAGATCTTCTCTTTCAAGTACACTCTGAATGGTTCTTCTCTACGTCTTAAATTCCTTGAGATTATCTAACATTTTGCTTATAACTACTAAATCTGTTGCTCATCTGTCAACAACTAAGTTCAAGAATAGTGTTTCAACTAATATTTTATTCTAACACAGTCACCGCTTCTACTCACACAACGTTGCTCTGATACCGTGATAAACTAAAATCAAGCCAATACAGGCTAAATAATCAATCCCTTGAACAGCTTGAATGGAAGCACAAATACAAAAAGTGCCCACGTTCCCTATATTGAGAACAACGCTGAGAACACAGAGGTGAAGTTCAACACTCAGACCTCAGATAACAGTGAGACCATCACCGCTTACAGTAATCACCACCAGTGAATTTGATTTAAATTATGCCTTCCTCTCATGTAGTCATCCAAACCACAAACAAAGAAAAACCTTTATACATTAGATTTATTTCAGAACCGCTCCAAGTCTCTGATTCTCTGTCGCCAAAGGTTGAATATCCCACAATTCAAGGTGGAAGCCTGATTCCATGTGAAATCAAGCCACATTCTTCAAACAAGTGTAGCAAAAGTCTGCCTACTTTGGCACTAAAAGCAGAGAGTATTTTGTCTGTCGCATCATCCTGACATGGAGGAGAGCATATGAGATGCCAAAAGCAGGCAACGCTTTAGTCTGACAATTTTAGACATGCATAATTTGAGTATGGATCATGAACAGCACCATGCTTCGTCAATAAACATTTAAAGGAAAGACTCGCCGCGAAGTCATTCGGCGACACACCAACCAACTAGAATCACATACTTATGCTCTCAATTACTGTGAAATATGCTACTTATCGATTAATATATCCACAACATGGTCACCACCGATGATCCAATCCTGTTCCTGTTTTTTTTTCATCGTGAGATCCTCTCCGTGAATCTACATGAGGACTAGACACAAAAAGTAGATTGCCGAGTCCTACAGTTGTCGGTAGTGAAGTCAAAATTGCTGTCCTACAATATTGAGGTGAAAGAGGTGACTCTACAATTTTGACCTGGTGAAAGAGGTGACTCAAAATTGCAGAGTTCTACAATTGTCATTGTAGTGTTGTGTTGGAGGCGTGGGTGAAGATAAGAAGAGATGGGGAATTTGATGAGATGGGGAGGTTTGAGCAGGACATGAGGGACCTTAGATCCAAGACTTTACAATCACTACCACCACCTCCGCGTGCAGGAATAAGAGGTCATGTATGTACATCACCGCACCTACCATCTGCAAGTTTTACTCAAACTCCGATTTCAAATAAATCTGCGAAGTTCTAGTATTGTGCCTGTTGTCATTATCTATGATTTCTCAGGATTTCTGTTGTAAAACCTCCTCCTCCTCCTTCTGCCTCAACAAATTCTAATTTCCTAGTTTGATTCCATCTTCAGCAACAATATCAAGCACCTCTACAGCAGTACAATCCAGTTTCACAAACTACGTGTCAAGCGCAGCCTCAAGCTCATTTTCAAACTGCTCAAGAGCCCTGCATCAGTGTACGACGTTGAGTGGTTGCTCTGGAGCCGTTTGAATGCGGGGCTCTTGGTTTCTTTTCCGTTGTTCTAAAACTCTTGCTTGGATCCATCATTGGACGGAATTATCTTTGATTAGAAATGCCATCCATGTGAGAGGCTAAGACGACCTTTGCAGAATATACAGAAGATTTCGACTCTGTTGAAAACAAGGTACTTAATTGGATTGAACTCTTTTTTGGGTGGAGATTTAATGTAAAAGAGGAATTTTATTCATGTTCGGTTATCTTGAATTATTCTTTATGTAATCCCTCTTGCGAGATTTTGCGATTACAGCATTAATAGCTGTTTCAAAGATAAACACAAACTTATTTTACTTCATAGTCTCTTGAAAGTGTGAAGGCTGCTTTGGCCAGTGGCGAGGGTGAACACAAAGCTGCGACGAAGAAAAAAGAGATCCCTGAGACACCTGCCCGACAAACGTGAGAGGGTCCTGCACTTGCGGAGGTGCCTGATAGTAGTCGATTGACCAACACTACTATGAGACCTGCTAATATATCTTGCATATTCAATGCACTGTCTTCATATTTATATGCAATTGTTGGAATGCTCACAAAGAAAAGACTTACACAACTGAAACTTTGGAGTACATCGGAATGTTCAGGTTATAGAAATCCAGAAGATGAGTGTTCGTCGAAGATAGTGTATGGTGGAATGTGTTCGTCGATTTTGTAATCAGAGCATGGATGGCATTCAGCTTACTATTTCCGACTTCATCATGGTTACATAATTTGCAGATGGTCACCACCATTTTCCTGTGGTGACTTGGGTATCGAAGTGAATGATGAGGTTTTCCCATAACCCTACACACGGTTTGCTTCTTTCGATGTGGGTGGAGTGGATATTCTCATGCTACCTTCTACCGAAGAAAACCAACTGCCATTCATGCCTTTTGGTTTCAGAAGTCAAAGTGCTTGAAATCTCATGATTTGTATACCCTCGATGACTCTTCAAAATCTTGCACCTTTCTTGTGATACAGAAGGTGTTCATTGTTGCGCAGGTTTTAGGGGATAATTGTTCAGGGTGGACCAGTAGTTTCGGCTCCGTTGGATTGGTAAATCTTCCTAGTCAAGTTGAAAACACGTTGAAAATATGCCTATCTAGACACTGAAGCTTTGCAGAATTCGAGTGTAAGATTTAAAAGGCTTACAATATATTGATTACTGTTTTATAAAACCTTTAAGTAATTATCCTTTTCCAGCAGAAATCTCATGTCTTTTGCAGAGGAAAAAACAACTTCCACCACTGACCTTGTATGCCAATTTAGCGTACGAACATGGAACAACATGTTCAACCGTTATTTTCCATGAGTTTCGCTTACAAGATCAACCATTTGACACACATTTATGAGCGCATACCTTCAAACCATTGACAAGCTCTCACACGTAGATGAAGACTTCAAGTGAATTTGCTACCTGAAACTGTGCTGGAAAAAACAGTTAACAAGCTGTCACCTAAAACTCAAAATGCAACAAAAATCTTTGTATATCAAAGATGAAAATGCTCCTACATGGAGACGGCGTTCTAGAGTAAAGATCAAATAAGATGGTCATCAAAAGCCCAAGCACAGACACAGCTGCTGAGTGCTTCGACGAGCATAGAATTCAGTGCCTCTACATGTACAGTAGAACAGCTCAGATAAAATATTCTAAGCCATTGGGCTCGACTAAAACCCTCACACTCTGCTCACTGAAAAGGGTTCATTTCAGTGGAAAGCAAGCCGCTGAAATTCTGCATCATATTTAGCATTACCTGGACTTTCACCTCTGTACATTCTCCTCTCAATGTCCTGACGCTAATTCAAGCGTACTAAACTTCTTTAGTGCGAACAGTGAATCGAGAGTGAGGATTGAAGAGCTTCAGTAGCTGGCCACTCTTGATGGATTTCGATCTCAAATCCTAACACATGTGGCTGAGGTAAATAAAAGAACGCCATTGCCTTGGCTCCAGCTTGTGTCTAGTCACGAAGGATAACAAGGAGCAAGCTGATGATTGCATGAAGATGGAAAAGAATGTGTATCAGGACACAAAAGTTATCATCTATGTACACACTTGAACCCGCGGCAGATGCCCAGCCAGATAGCAAACAGAACGCAACAAACGATGAGATCGAGAACCAAAACAAACTTCACGTTGCGCCACCACATTTTGGACGCCAACTCCCGAGCCCTGAGCTTCTTGTTGTTGAGATCCATGTTGGAGGAGGTGCCATCCCCTTCATATTTCTGGTTTTTTTTCGTCATCATAATCTCCTTCACCTGAATGACCTGTGTAAGAAACCCCGATTTTAGCTGTGATCGAGCTGTTAGCGATTTTAGCAATGCTTGACAGTAATGTATTTTATGGTTCTAAGGGAATCTGAGCCCTTGCATTTATTTTCAGCATCGAGCAGGTTTGAAAGCAGCTTGAAATATTTCACTTTAGAGTTCACATAATCTCCGTACTTTAAGAAAAAATGCATCAAAACCACATATTTTCAATGCAAAAATCCCTAAGCGAAATCTAAAGTCTCGCATGTTGAATTTGTGATAAGGTTATCAGCCTCTCCTTCTCCTTCTCTTTCTCTCTTTATTTATTTATTATATATGTATATATACAGATATCTATCTATATACATGTTTGTACACACATACACGATAGAACTAGTGCACAACTGCATCCACACCTGATGGTCCTTTTTGTCGGTTTTCGGATGAATGCTCTTAGTGAGCGGCGACACACCATCGCCATTTGAACGTTCGGCCCGGGGAGAATCGGACGGGCTCAAGACGGTCTCATCATTGGAAATTGCATGGTGGTTCCCGTCGTCCAAATCGACCTCTTTTTGCGGCACACCCACAAGAGGCCGCACTAAAGATTTGAAAACCCCAGAAAAATCGCTAACCAAAGCATTTCTTTCCAATTGATAGCCATCAATATTGCGAGAATGAAGAACCCGCTTGAACTCGATCCTCACTTGCTCTAGAAACCCCAAGCCCTTAAGCTTCCCTAAGGCCTCGTCTATAATTGCACAGTATTTAAATGCGCCGTCTATCAGAAAGATGAACATCCGCTGCTTAATCGTATACGTGAACTGGTTGTGGTAGGGTGGCACTTGCTGAAGGCACCCTACAGCAGCCTCTGATGTTACCGGATCCTCCTTCGAATTCTGATGCTCCGCAAGCACAACATTGTCCCTCGACACCGATGCATAATACACAAGATTAGTCTTCAAACCCATCTCTTCTGCTTTCCTCCTATTCTTGTCCTAGTGTGATACTTCTTTACACAAAGCCCCTGCAAACCTGAGCTACACTATTCATCGCCCGAAGGCGGCGACTCTACCGACAACCCCTTCTTTCCGCAGCTCAGTCAAATCTTATACCCCGACCACCGCAGTGAAAAAAAGGTCAAAAAAACCATCCAAACCTTACCGTTCTCAGCAACGCCCAACTCCTTCGTCCAAGCCAAGCTCAACCCAACCCATGCTACCCGCAACAAGACGAGCTCCTGTCACAGCAAGCTAACCTAGTAGACTCCACCCACAAACGAGCTCATATACATTCATCCACTCTGCCATGCACCAGATCACTTCCACGTTCTCCCACCCCATCGCCAAAACCCAGCACCAAAGCCACAGCGCACAAACAAACGACCAACTCCCCGTGCCACGACACCGAGCAAGCAAACAATGCTCCCAGGGCATCCAGGGTACGGCCGCTTCGCACGTTAAATCTCTACTCTGACACTAAATCTGGCTGCAAACAAACAAGATAATGCCGCGGATGATGTCGCTACCACACGACGCTGAGTTTCGCACACACACAAGGTCAGAGCGCGGCGGCGTTCTACGCGATGTCGTTCAGAAGGGGAAACAGCCCCGCAACTTAGCATTCAACTTGGCTATTACGACGGCAACGCGGACTTCCGGTGCATGGAACTTTCACTTCTCTTTTGCATTTCCCCTCCGCCTTCCTCATTTCTAGCGATCACAATTTTCCATTGAAAGCTTCTGTTGCGGAGCTTCTGTCAGTGCTGCGGGATTCCGGAGCTTGGCAATCTTCAAGCCCAAAAAAAGTTGATGAACGAACGAGCGATAACGAACGATAGATGAACGATCGCCGACGAAGTACCGACGAGTTTAAAGCGAATTGACGAACGAATGAATGTGGAACGGACGAAGAGAATTGGCAGCTGCCGGTTCGACGAGGGTCATCCGGTAGCCACCATTATTGTAAACGCGTGGATACGTGTCGTTGACAGATGGGGCTGTAGGTAAATACGGTAAATATTAAGTGATTAATTTAGTCTTTAAATAGTTAAAATGAATAGTTGAACGCTTGTTTTAGGGTACAGTATGGAATGATTAGTAGGCAATGGTTGGTATGGTGGTTTTACTTTTATTTTATTGTAGATGAAGTTGCTCACAGTATTGAATGTTAGGTAGTATACAATGCATGGTATTCGATTGTTGGGTAGTCATGGTTGGATTTTTAAGTTGATAAGGAAGGTTATTTTTTATGTGTGTTTGGATTATGTTGTCTAAGTTTGGAGTCAAAATGTCGTGAAACAAGAGCTTGATATTTGAATTAGGAAACTAGAAGACTATATATATAACTAGCCCTTTTCAATAACATGAGAAATATTTATCAATCTATCTATTATACTAAACTCAACTTGTGTTTATAATGTATAAAAATTGTATTATCTATTTTATTTCTAAAAAACCCCATCAAAGGAGTATCTTTACCAAGGTTGTTACAGGATGTCCTATTTCTTCCATAGATTCAACACTAAATCTTCAAACCCAGTTTTATCAAAATATGGTGTGTATATATTTATATATACGTATGCTAAAACCTTTCAAATCATTCACTTTCATGATATTTACACACACAACAAAACAAAACACAAAAGTACACACCAAAACCTTCTCTGGAAAGTTCTAACACGATTAATGCTACAAAGTTTGTTTCCCATTGCACAAGATTCATTACAATGAAATAAGGTTGAAAGTTTACCATGGTTTGTAGTCAAAGTTTGTGAGACTTCCGTTGACACATCATTTTTTCAAGTAAATTGCAAATGATGGAATATCTAATCAAATACATGTGTATACAATGCTGGTGAAGCTAATTCTTGCACGTTCATCTCCTATTTCTGAACCAACATTGTTCCACCCTACGCAGATTATGCATCAAGGTTAACAATGCCCAGCGCATTGAGGCAATCATGTCACATACATGCCTGTTTGTTCATGGAAGGTGTGCAAACTGCAAGCCATTTAAAATTGGAATTATTAATTTCACATCAGTACTCTGTACAGTAACAACCTTCAAAATAAATAAATAAATCAGTGGTGGAACGAAAACACAAGTATTGAATTATACACAATTTGCTAACCAACTAGCCAAATAGAATTAATAAAACCCTCACCTAGTTACTCATCCGTTCAAAATTTGACTGATTGAAGTACGGCTTAGAAAAGCCAAATTGCCGCAACACTGTTCAATGACTCGGGTGCGAAGGAACCTTGACTTCTTGTTTTGCTATGTTTGTTTTTTGTTCATTTATTCCAGATGGAAAGTGTCTTTTCTACCTGCTGCCAACCCAGATTCAACTCATCCACCATACCGGCAAAACATGAGATCGACAATCAAGTATTAGAATGCATGTTTCTACCATCCCATCGTGCCAGAGTCGGTTGAAGAGTGAAGCAGCTATCCTCCAACGCTTCCAGCTCTCCAAAGAACTTCTGTCATATTCTCCTTATGAACGATGAGTGGCAAACCCTCACCTCTTTTAAAGTTGCTCGTTGGAAGTAGTCTAACAAAAACAAATTCTACCCCTTTTTAAAAGAATTACAGATGCGACCATTTGTATTACGAAACATCAAGGCTCTGACGTTTCGTTTCGGTCGTTAAAATTAAAACTGCTTTGGAATGTCTTCTAGTCTGAACTCGATGACCAGACTTCCAACTATCAACTCTCCCCAGTATCGCCACTTCCACTTGATAACCAAGCACTCCTCAGCTGCTCTGCAAGTTCTACAATTTTGGCTGCCATCCAGCTCTGAGCATGGTCCATACTCGCGGCCTCTTGGAGAGCAAAAACAAGGTCCTTCTTTGAGTCTCCCGTTAGTCCTAGTGCATTAGGACCATTACTTAAGACCAAATCAGCCACCTGTACGATCCATTAATCATAATATCAATGCACAAAACCATTGGGTCAGCACCAGGTTATAAGATACAAAAGCAATGGACATGATTCGAATATCATTGAATAAATCTTCACATAACATTCAAGCATGATGAGGCTCTTCTTGCAGTGCCCAAACTCGAAGCCGTCTAAACATAACACGGCTACAACTGCAATTGGGACGCACTCCTCCAGACAGAGTAGGATGTAATTACCTGCTGGATCCAAGGAATTACGCATTCCAAGAAGCTCTGCTGTTGAAGAAAGTGTTTCAGGTTACCCATAAGATGTGTCAAGGTGGCATCGCTCAATTGTTCCAAGACAGGACCAGTGCGACTCATCAAGCGTACCAACAAGAGCTCATCATTGCTCCCAAGAATGTCTGCGTAAGCCAAATCGAAATCACTTGCTCGGACACTCTCCATAGCTTGGCTCCATAACATCGAAAATGGTCCGCCCACCACTCTATTTGACTTCTGATCGGCGAAATCTCGTCTGGATTGCTGCCGATGAGAATCACGAGGCTTACTTGGTATAGCAGCACCACGAATGGCCGCTATTGCTTCATCTTTTGATGCCTGCCAAACGCTTCGGGCAGATGGACCTTCTCCTTGTGGAAGAACAGTTGGACTTGAATCACATACTCTCCTGGTTCCAATCACATCTTGGTCAATCTCTCGATCCGCTCTATTGCCTTTCTGCGATGGTCTCGCCACCAGCACCTGAGCCTGCCTAAGAGCTTCTGTCGATGACATCTGCTGACCAGAACCGAAGGCAAATTCATCCGATTCTCCAGATGTTGACTCTGTCAACTTCTCCAAGGAATCCTGACTCCTCGCACTTAAAGGTGCTGAAGAATCCTCAGTCGCTTTACCAGACTTGAAGTTGAGAAATCCATTCCCAGAAAGGTATTTGCCTAGTGGATGACCACCTTGAAAAGTGGGTGACTCACCGACCGGAGACCTCCCTTCTGTATTGCCAGAACTGAGAGCCAAATCCTCCACAATTTGTTCCAGCCTAGAGACTCGTCCTTCTAAATCTTGCATGCTCTCATGCACACGTACCATGGAATCCTATCACCCAGATTTCAAAACGGAAGAACAAAGCTGTTACTTTGAGAATCACATAGCAAACGATGATTACGGCTAACTTGCTCCTGCTGCACCCAATAACGTGTCTAGCAATCCGTACAAGCCAATCATACGACTCCAATGACGTGAGAGACAAATATAATGATAAGCTTAATCATGAGTTGACCATTTAACCATTATAAAATACGGGAGCTTAGAAATCAACCTGCAGCATCTCCATCATGGAAAGCTGTTGGCGTTCCAAGCTAGTCAAGTGACGGTGGAAAGATCCTATATCTGCAGCTCCTTTGTCCATGCAAGTCACCCTAGAGTCATTGCCATCCCAAGAAGAATTATAGCTATGCCTTTGATGCTCAATAGATTGAGGATCTCCCCATCTCTCGGACTTTTCCAACGTTTTCTTGAGCATTGCAGTCTGCGGATCTTCATAACCATCGGCTGCAATTCAGTAAAAGAAAATCCACTGAGACACCCATTACGAAGAACCATGTTTTTAAGGGAATTTAACTTCAAAGAGCAATAATATCAAACAACAGATTTGACGAAGCTGTATTTAATATTGGTGTTAAACTATCTACAAACACAAATCCTATAGAGGTGGATGCAGATAAACCAAAGCTGAAGCAAAGGTTCTTACTTGAAATCGTCCCATTCTCCACTGGATGATTACTTGATCCACCTTCTTCCTGGTCATACTGAAGATCCGTACCATTACTCTCATCAGGGGTCAATACTCCACCTGAAGCATATGCACTGCCTGAAGAGGCAGATCCTTGCATCATATCTGTGCAGTTTCCACGATAGACCAGATGCTCACCACTGGCAGCCCCAGATCTTGGACTCTCTTCCTGCGGTAGGTCGCGCGGAACTGCAACTTCTATTTGCCAACCTGTTGAATCCCTCACGCCTTCTAGCTTTCGGAAAAAATCAGGATTAGGTTTTTTGTCGCTTAGGCCCGGAGCTCTTTTTTTCAACAAACTTGCACGTCTATCAGGCATAGACTTGGGTCTCCCACTTGAATCAGAAAGTGAAGAGGTTACGGAACCTCCGGACTTCCCCAACGAACGGTTTTTACGATCTGGAATAGTAGGGGTTGAGTCTCCATCGAAGCGATACCTTGGAGAAGCTGAATCTCTAGGTGAAGCACTTCCTCTAGGTGAAGCACTTCCTTTGGGTGAAACACCTGCAGAATGGCACCAAATTAAGAGGTCAATAGAGTTATCGGTTCGTGACAATATCAGATACCCCTCCATTGATTGTGGCCTACACTAGCAGCCCTTACACAAATCCCACATTGTCCATGCCTTTAATGCGCGTAACCGCTTATGAAGACTCTAAACTCATGTAGCAACAACAATGTACTTAACCAACACCTGAAAAAAATAAAAAGAAGGAGAAATTGGAACTAACACAGTGGAGCATTCGGATCGTAGATAGCCTTCCAAAGCTGCAATGCTTCAGTAACACTGTCTCGAACAGGCTTCACCTGAAACGCACCAACAGTAAGACACAACTATTACCATCCACTTCGACAGCAGCTAGGACCGTGAGATGAGCACAGCCGACTACACGAATTTCCATCATTTCATCAACTTCATCCGAAAATTAGAAACATCTAGAAAATAATCTACAAGCTTGCTAAAGGTTAGAAAACGACAACCACTTACTATGCTTAAATTGAAAAGAAAGAGCACCAATTCAAGCCCTAAACAGTTCCTAACGAGAAAAGCATTCAGAGACAGCAGAATAGCGTAGGACATACTATGCCTGAGAGAAAATACAGCACAACTGCGAGGAAAATTCACTCGATTCTTAAAATTAGGGAGAGAGGAGAGGAAAGTATTCACCTTATCGAATCGACTGCTCTCCAAAGCAGCGATAACACCTGCCCTATAGGATACTAGGCTGTTGCCAACTGCAGAGGCCATGCAAGATAAGGCCTCAGCTGCAGCTTTCCGAACTGCCCATTCACTGTTACCCAGCTCGTCTTGAACAGCACCAAGCAGAACGGGTAATTGAGACGCAGACACCACTCCAGGAACCTGCATCGCTGGCTTGTCAAGAGCTAGAAGAAAAGATAAAAACGGCACTAATTTCTCCTCTTCTTTTCTTTTCTGTTATTTAATTCAATGTCGCAATGTACTAAGAATCGGACAACAGGATGACGAGGTCAACAGAGAAGTGCATTTAAATTTAATGGGCACAAGATCAACAACATCGAAAGTCTTTACATTCAGGCACCACGGTATCAAGCTAAAATCGTATTCGGAAAAACGGTGGCATACAAGATAAGAGAAGAAAACTCTGCTCGAAACAATGAGCAACCCCATGCTAGATCACGTAAACTCTTCACAAAATTAGAATAAGAACGATTGAGCCTACACCCACCAATTCGGGACTTCAAACATGCAACCACACTATCCATACAATAACGAGGTTAAGGTAATTTCTCATCTACAGCAATCCAAAATTTGTTATGAGCCAATACAAAATATCAGATAGTCAGGGAACACGACCACAATCTCCAGACAAACCGTACGGGAATAGCATCATTCTAGTCTAAGGCGAGCTATGCAATGTAGGTTAATGAAGGGATAGCAGCTTAAAAATGGAGGATGAATTGTAAAGCAAGCTACCTGGACCATGACTCCAACAGCACTCAGGAGAGACGCCTTGGCCAGAAAATTAGGGCTGGCCAGCATTTTCAGTATTCGTGGACAAAGGCGCTGCAGAGTAGGAGGGTGTGGCTCCTTGACACATTCAAGGACGCGCGCTAGACACATAGCAGCTCCAGTTTGCAAGGTCTTGTGTTGCTCTGCCAAGGCTTCAAACAGAGGTTTGACGAACACCGTGGTGACAGCACCAGAATCGGCTCCGCCGATACTAGAAGCCAAAACACCCATGCTTTCAACGCAGGCGTCGCGAATATTGGAATCTGGATCTTTCAATCTCTTCACAATGTTTGCCACCATCTTCGGCAGGTGGGAGGCCAGCAAATCCCCATGAATGGAGGCCAGCGTCCCCACGAGCCTAATACACTCCCGCCGCACAACGCTCTTCTGCTGCGAGTCTGTATCGTATAAGCACGTCAGAAAGAGAGCTATACCCTCGGGTGACAGACTCTGCGCAATACGCTCCAGCTCCTCCACCGCCAACTGCTGCGTATCTCGGTCCGAGAGCTTATTCAGCACCGCCAGAATCCGATTCTTCAGCTCTATCAACGCCGACGCCTTACCTGCGGCACCTCCACTCCTTCTCCCCGCTCTCTGCGGGCCCCCTGCCATCGCCATCCCTCACCCCCACAGAAATTCCTCTCCTCCTCCTCGTTCACTATCCAATCAACCCAACTAATCCAACCCAACACGTCCAGCTCCTACTCCATCGCCCCGACACCTTCTTCACACGAATCACACTCTACTGTATCCCTCCCCCAGCCACATACTAAGGAGACTCGTAAGCCCCGCAACACCATCCCCAATACGCCACCCCGCCCCACCTCCAGCTACTTATTCTCACCTCCCATTCCCCCTAAAACAAAAAGCCAACGACCAACAACGCAATCACATGAATGCTGGCCCCACGGCCATCACGGAGAGCATAAAAGTTGACAATAAACAACTGTACTCACAGGTTTGAAACCCGGAGTTGGGGGACAGAGACGGAGACGAGGCAGAGAACGAGAGCGCGAGGGATATGGCGTGGTGCCGCTGTTGCAAAGAGGCACACTCCACTCAGCTGACGACGACGACACTGGCTGCTGATGCTGCTGCTTCTGCTTCTGCCCCCCCAGTGCCATTTGCACATGATTGCCATGTGGCAGCTGCGCAATTCAAACCCTGAGAAAATCGGCTCCTTGCTGCTTCTATTAATACCCCTTGTCCTGTGAGAACGATCGCGCCATATATTTTTGGCGTACACGATGGGCTTTCAATTCTTGTGCGTGAGTACCCCCCCCCCCCCCCCCCACAAACATCGACGGCGCCACCACCACCAGGAAAATTAACAACCAACTCTTTCCCTCACTGCTTCATCTCTATCTGTTTGTTTGTTTGTTTGATTGACTGATTGATTGATTGAATGATTGATTGTTTCTTTGCCTTGTTTGTGCGCGAGTCTAAGTGCATGTGTATCTAAGAGTGTGTGTTTTATTTTATTTTGTTTTTTATTTTCTTCCACTTCCAGATCCCTCTTCGATCCTTTTACTACGCTTCCTTGCTTGCTTGCTTGCGTGCTCGCTTGCTTTCATCCGCCAAGTGCTGGATCCTAGATAGATAGTTCGGCGGCGCTTGCCCACCCACCTCCATGTCCGCCCCCTTACGCTTATAATCCATTCATCCCTGTGCTTGATCCATTCTTCCGGTGGCTTTGAAGCTCCGTGCCCCATTATTCCTCCATGCAACCACTCTGCTCTTTTTCCATTTAATATGAATATATATATACAGGAATGTGTATATTTAGCATAAAACAATTGATGGGGTTCACTTGTTGTCATGACTTCTCTTCTTCCTCCTGTTGTTGTTGTTTTCCTTTGTTACATTTTTCCCACATTTTTTTGCTGTTACTCTGTGTGGTTGTGTGTCTCTGATGCAATGTAATGTGTTGATTTGCCAGCTTTTGTTTTGTGTTTCTGTGGAGTTTGAATCATTGCAAGTGAGAGTTTGTGAAATTTTGAGTGGGACAGGTTATGTGGCTAACATGTAAACCAGTATTATGTTGCATAGTTTGGTATGTGTAAAAAAGCTTGTTGACAATTTATTTTAAGATATGTGTCTAGGACTAAAATCTTCGTGATGCAACTTTACATGATAGTTCATATGTAAGTGATATAAATAAACTACATAATTTTCATTCATAACTTGCATGGTTTGAGTACTAACATCATTCTTATTTTTATTTATCTTATTGCTTGCAAATTCAAAACTGTAATTCTACATATTTACAGAATTTATGTCTGGCCATATAAAGTCATTTTGAAGAAAACAATAAAAAAAAAAAAAAAAAAAAAAAAAATCATAGATGTCTTTTTATCATTTTTTTTTTTTTGTTATTTAGAAAAAATTCCAACAAGATATAGTTATATAGATAATATATATATTATTGGCAAACATGGAAAAAAATGTCATTTCCAGTAGTTTTATATCATCGATCATGTTTGGGATACTGAACAAAATATGATATATAAGAAATACATAATACATTTATAAATCCCGGTAAAATTAAGAACCTTAGATTATATCATTATACTATATTTTAAAAAATACATGTTGAACAACATTCGTTTCATAGTTCAAGAGAATCTCTTTTTTGCATTTACGTAAAAACAATTTAACCTGTACATATAAAAAAAATTCTGAACAAAAGTAAAAATATTTTTAACATGGTGTTATGTTTTGATTATACTATATGTACATTGCTATTGATTTTAAATAGTTAAAATCAATAATTGTATATTTATTTATCATTGTATAAGTTTTGGAAATCAATATCACACAACATATGTATACAGACACACATACATAAATGCATTTAAATATTTAATAAAACAATGAAATATAATATTGATATTATATTTCATTGTTATTAAAATATTGTACAATTTTTCTTTAATCTGTAAAAAATGAACAAAGAATATTTGATCTTTGACACTTCAGGCTAATCCTAATAATTTTGTCTCTGTTATTTTTTATTTCATCTTTATCATATATACATGTAAATAATTATGATACTTTTATTATTATTATTATGTTTTAATCTGTTTTCTATTATTTGAAAACATGAATCAACGTTTCAATTCTTCATGAAATTTTTAAAATATACATACGCAGAGGTGTTGATTGTTTTTGTTTGACATATTGAAGATAATATCTTTTATAGATTATAAGTGTGTGTGTTGACATGCAAACATTTTAGATGTAATATAGACAAGCATATAATTCTATTTACAAAAAAGTAAAATAAATTTGAAAGTTTTGATATAATATTGGCATATATCAATCAAACCAAGTATATATTTTTATGTTGGCAATGATGATTTCTGGAGGATTATATGACTATTAAAATGTATATCACGTAAAAATATTATCTAAATCAAAGGATAAATAAATAAATAATAAAATACATATATGTGGATATACCATAAATAAATGAAATACATATACATACAATGAGGAATAAACTGGTAACTGATTGCCAATATTTATTTATATATAGCTTAATAGCTTTGAACCTAAACACAATGAGTTTCGAAGCTCTCAAAAAATGAAATCAGATGAATAATAACTGTAAATGAACATTCAAATTGAATTAATTTTTGTGAAATCAATCTCTGAAAAATTAGAATTTTTCACGAACTGTTTCCAACCTTACATGGTCTACTCATGCAGGCAATAACTGGTATTTGTTTTTATTAATGAAATCGATCTTTTTTTGTTGATGAATTAAATTGCAGAATAGTATCTGCAATCAGTATTTATTAGCATACATTTGTTCCATAAGAAAACTCATATTTTAATGTTGATTGTGTAAAACTAAAGAAGATCACAAAGTCTCTACTTTTTTATATATATAATAATTACGAATTTCAACATGTATATATATATATATATTGAATCATTAGACTTGTGATTTGATTTTATTTACTGATTATTATAATTACTTCATATTAAACTTCAAATTTCGATATAGTCATAGAGAAATAAACAATTGCAGAATTAACATTTTAATTCTATTATAAAGAAAAATATATTTTAGTGCATTTTTATTTATTTTACTCATGGTTTTAATTTGAAATAACTCTCTCTCTCTCTCTCTCTCTATATATATATATATATATATATATGTATACATGTTCATGACAAAAAAGAATTATTCACAATGTTTGAATTTGATTGGAGGCAGAGTCATGGTTGTTCTTGTAAGCCTCAGAGCATCGGAAATGTTTTATACTGTACATGTCGCCAATTAAAATTGTGTCTTAATTAATTTTTTATGTATTATTTTTAGTATACATTTAGGTAAGAAAAAAAATAAATGGAAAAAGAAAAAAAAAGTGTAATAAAAAAAATTCAGACACATAATTAATTATTTTTCAAAATTACATGTTTTTTTGCACACGTGAATTTGTGTTTAAAAGATTAAGCTTCAAAAAATATGAGGTTTTCGGGCAATAATACAATCACCTCGTTCATTTTAGGTTTGGGTTTACTTAAAAATTGTACATTGTGTCCATATCTTAGAAATACACACTTTTATCTTATAGTCATAACAACTGCAACAGTTAGTTTATATATAAAATAAATAAACTATTTATTTGCAGAGATATGCATATTGAGGAAAACATGTCACAATTCAATTTCAATCAAAAGAATTATGGGTCAAGTGAATGGTGTTCAAAATGAATAAACACTGCTATCACTCATTCACTTATCACATTAAAAATATAGAATTCTATATAATGTTTAATTTACCCCATTATGATATTTTTCATAAAAAACCTCAACTTCATATCATCACAACACTTCTGTGATATTAATACACAAACTACATGAACCTGTGTTGTTGTCATACAAAGTGTGATTCAAATGATGCTATTTTTGAAAGATGTATTTTTGAAAGATATGTTTGTGAGCTAAAGAATATTTTTCAAATAAAAATACAATAGAATACAAATAGAAAAAAATAAAATATACAATGGAGCTTTCAAGTATGAAGTAGGATAAGCAAATCTATGCTGTTATCACAAATAATATACAAAAAAAGTAGTTAATTTTGTTCAAGGGATTACTTGTGAAAATATTAAAAAAAAATAAATTACATTAAAAAATTATAAAAGTATATTAAGACATTGAAAAATGTGCTAAAATTAATTAATTAATTAATTAAAATATAAATTTATTAATATTTATCTAATTAAAACTTATAAATATGTTTACAAATTTGAAGGTTTCTTGAATTCTGTGGTGTATGTATAAGTGAATTTTGGGCAATGTGTTGGTGTGTAAGTTGTAAATGTGTGTACAAATTTGCGGTCATTTGAATAGTTAGATCAAAGTATATGATGGTCTTTGTGGGTTGAGATCTCAAAAATTGGAATTTGAGGATTAGTGATTATTTCTAAGATCTTCAGCAATTTATCAATTGGATTGAAGTAAATTTTCTTTTGTATGGATAATAAACTTGATTTCCAACACTTAGGTGAAATTTGGAAGTAATTTAATAGTTCAAGAAGGAGATATTGGCGTTGAAAGTTCAGCATTTAGGTTGGAGTAGGAGGTTGCCCAATACCTGATTGGATTATCTTGTATTTCTTTTAATTGGTAAGTGCAATTGATTTCATTTTCTTATGCTTGTTTCTAACTAAGACATTAAAAAGTGTATAAATTTTAAATTGATATTAATGGTTTGATTATTAATTGTTGAGGTTGATTTTGATATAGGATTTGTTAAGAGTTTGTTTAAGGTCTAGAATTTGATTAGGATTAGGATTTGCTTAGAGTTTGGTTTAAAACTTATTAGAAGATTTTAGTAAGTTTAATATGCCACAAACTTTCTACATTCCTTTTAATCCAAAGTCTCATCTTTTCTTTCTTTTTTATATTCCTTAATTGATACATCATCTAGAAAAGGTATAATTATACTTGAAATAAATTTTCTTAATACTTTATGCATTCTATTTATCATATGGGTTCTAGAATTTGTAGCCCTTTGAAGTAAGATACACATTCTGACCAATCCTAAAAAATCAATTAGAGATAAAAAGACATTATAAAAAATCAACTAAAGATAAAAAGACATTATAATAATACAATCTAGCATGGAAGATATAATGGAGCAATTTCAAATGAAACTCAAATACAACACCTCTTAGGCCAAATAGCTACTTTGTAAAAGCAAATAGAAGCCTCTATAACTAGAGAGTCAATATCTGCTAGGCT